CCGGAAATGTGAATATATGACAGTAGATAAACCATCGTCAAACACACTATAGCTGCGATAAATAACGCAAGAATTACATTTCCCAGCCACTCGGGCGTGCCACCAGGATTCCTGCAGCATAAGAAAGAAAACGAGAGTACAATACTCGCAAATCATTCTTTCTTATCGGTCAGAGAAAGGATTTCAAATTAAACTTAAAAAATTTTCTAGCATAAAATACTTTCAGTATAAAAGACGGCTGTCTTAAGTCTTAACTATTACCTTACAAACCGAACTGATGTTCCAATTACTGTACTAACCAGCCGAATAATCAAGCCCGAAGAAGTTAAAAACGGCAAAGACAATCCAATCAGCAGGGTTAGGGTTTTGAGCGGTTTTGGTAGCCGAGCCGGTGATAATGTTGCATCAAGTAGACCATCTGGATATTCCATAATATAGATTAGTTCATGAAAATATTCGTCAACTTAATAATTTTCAACTAACAAAAATGTGATCTTAATCTGTAAATGGAAACTCACAAGCAAATGCGGGCGTAACCAACCAAACAAGGGCCAAATAAGAAGATCCAATCTTGAAATAATGTCCCACCGACAAGAGAACAAGCCACTGCAAGAGACCGGCTTTAAAGATCCATCTTTCGGCATCTAACTTGGCCACAGCGTGTCGGATAGCGGGAGACAAATTCCCCTTCGTTTGTGAAAATGTGCGTGATAAGTATTTCTCGAGAACGAGATAACCGACATGTTGACCACCGAAAGCCCCGAGAAGGGCAGGTGCAGCGAACAAGCCAACTACCAGCCACGGGCTCGAAACGAAGGGAACCGGTGACGGTGATACGAGTGGAAGGACAAAAGCAACAAGAACGGAGAAACCTATAGAGCCTATCCACATGAGCACAATACTCAAACACGAAAACGCCAGTGAAACCACAGATGAATACCCTCCCAGATATAGTGACGCAATCCATATTATAAGTGATTGCAGAATCACCGAATTATAGAGCATATCGGCAAAATGTTGTCGGTATACAATCATGTATGTTCCCTGTTTTCGGATAAGAATACATTAGAAATCAGTACGCAAAACCAATTTCAATGTCATCAAAAATACAAATACCAAGATATGATGTGATTTGAAGTACCAAAACGTCAAAGTATATAGCTTTATCCTGGGAAGATTTTCCTTCGGATTCAGTCGCCTTGCCTCCCGGAAGATTAGTCGACGCTGCAGCCCTAAGCAGAAATTCCAGCATATTTTCGCCAAGATGTTGGAGAGAACCGGGTTTCAGAAGTGCGAACTTGTCATTCTGGATGAACAAAATAACCAAACACAAGAAGCTCATTAGAATTGATAACCAAATTGAACGTAGGGAAACCTAAGAAGCCTTTTTGATTTAGTATTGGTCAAAAGGCAATAGCTTTTACACTAAAGCTTCTATCTTGGGAGTGAAATGTAGAATATCCAAATTCTATATCTTACCTTTGTATGGTATATAGCTGTATTTTCTGTATATGCAAAGTCGAGGCCTGAAAGACCACCTAGTTCTCTGTATACTTGAAAATCAGTTGCAGATTTTATTACCCCAGAAGTAAATAAATCCTGCAGAATGAAGTTGTCAAGAATGTAAATTTGAGCCATATAACTCCGAAAATGAAAAAAAAAAATATGATGCTTTTATGGCATAAATATGTTCAAACAATATGCACAACAGACCTGTGCGACAATTTGGGCAGATGGGTATTTTGCCACTAGTGCGTAGTTCTCAATTGCCCATGGATCAGGACCGGCCTGTTAATCGAGTAGCAAGTGAAAAAGGAAACAAATATGAGGGAGAGAAACTAAAGGAATATCAAGGGTACAAGTATACTAGACCAAATGAGAAAATTAATTTGTAGATGACAAAATTATACCTGAAAAATTCCTGATTTCCCACCAATACCCATGGCTTCCAAGTCGATAGCCAGTCGGACAATATCACTCCAAGGGTGCTGCACAAATAACGTAGAGAGGTCACTTGATAATTACTGCAACTTCTAGGAGAAAGTAGATATGTTCAAACTTATTTATAAATAATAATGCCAGTTATTAATCAGCTTGGTTGGCGTGAGTGGCCGTGCACTCTTGTCCCTTAAGAGAGGTCGGAGTTCGAACCCCCTCTCGTATGGAAAAACCAATCTGGCTAGCACTTTGCCCCTTATTGGGCCAGGCCGGTACAAACGTGGATTAGTTTGAGTATGGTACAGGCTTAAACGTGCCTCCTACATTTAGGGTCTGCTCAGAAAACCTCGTGGTCTGACCAAAAATAATGCCAGTTATTTTCTTACTGTCCAAAATACAAAAGGTGATAATCTATTTTCTGGTAGACATTGCACCAATACATACAAAAGCTTAACCAATAGAACGGCCAAATCAGGGTAACTTGAAGGATACAAGTACTATTGTGTTTGAAGAGGTAGTTAGGTAGCAAAGAGTAGGGAACATGAAACAGCTAATAAACAAAACCAGAAATAAAAAAACAATCAAACAAAAGCGGCAAAATGGATGAGTTTTCAGCGGAGAAAACCTGAGTTACAAAGCTATGAGCACCATTCAAGCCTTCCTCCTCCCCAGTATTAAACAAAAATATGACAGAATTCTTGAAACCATGGGCCCAGTGAGAGATTCCCCGAGCAAGCTCCAACATAACAGCTACACATGAACTACAGTCTCCAGCTCCTTCCCTAAATTAAAAAAAACATCAAACCAAAAAAGTTAGAACTAATCTTTATTATTTTGCGTGTTTCAATGCAGATAGAAGAAAGAAACTCATATTTGGAAAAAACAGATATAGAAAACAATGAAAACCCATACGTTGAGAAAACTGTATCAATGTGGGAAGAAACAAGAATAGCATTGCCCTCTGCTTTATTTCCATATTTCGGTGATATTCTCAATACAATATGATTCAGATCTGAATAAACAAGGGTTTTCCCCTTAAAAAGCCCACCGACAAGATGATTAGCACCAGAATTTGAATGAAAAAGGTCAATTTCCACATCAACTTCCCAGTGAGCCTCCTTCTTAATAGTTTCTGATGCTTGCAAGACATACTGCAATACATGCACCAAATTTATGACATATTGTAAGTAAAGGCGAAAATTCTCACAAGAATTATCAAAAAACAATTTCTAAATTAAAAAAAATAAAGAGAAAGAATTTGTGCTATAAGCATATAGTTATAGAAATCTAAAGCTGACCAAATCACTTCATCTTCCATTGTATATGATAATTACTTAGTCATATACCTTTAATCAAATACAAACCTAAGAGAACTTGCATTCTTCTTTATCCTTGGAATTCCATATAAATTCACCAAAGAATAACTTTTCAAAAAAAAAATTAAACAACAGATATGTCATTATCAAGGTTATCATCATTCTATAGTAAATAAAACCCAAATTTGAAACACATTAGAAGCAAACTAGCAATTAAACAGCAAAATTAACCAAGCAAAGTAAAATAGATTAACGAGTATACCTGCAGGGCACTGTCTAGAGAATTAGACCCAACGGGGTGCGGTCCAAGTTCAGTCAATGCCTTAACATGCTTCACGGCCTCAAGCTCAGAGAAGCCTCTTTTACCGGCATGCTCAGCACTGAGAGGCTGAGGCAGACTCTCATACTGATAATGATACACCGCCCAAGTTGCATATACAACCATCACAAAGAACACTAATATCAAAAACCCTGACCTCTTAGCCACCAAATGCACACTAGATTTCGCCCGGGGACCCCTCTCACTACTCGAATTACCTCCACTACCAGTATTTGACTTAGCAGCAGCTTTAGGCCTCTGTCTCATTTTCTTTTACCTTTCTTATAAATCTTCAATTAACCTGATCAAGCAAAATTAACAAATATAACTAAATTTCCATGCTTTTTAAAGAAAAATAGACACCCTTAATTAAAGAATTGTGATTTATCTAACACTTAGCAAGCCTATTGGTTTCTCTAGTTTGTGGGAAACAAAACTGTGAGAACGAACAATTAACGAAACGATCAGATGCGAGGAGCAAAACCCAATGAACCCGTAAAAAGATAAGATTTTTTTGGGGTGGGACGTCACTGAAAAGGTCAACGACTGGATATCATGAAGCATGGACTCATGAGAAGATGTTCAATATACAAAGATATACATACAATCCCACAGAAACAAGAATGTATATGAATGTAGTAGCGAAGAAGCAGGAAAAAAGAAGGCTTACCTTATTTTGGAGTGGGAGAGAGAGAAGAAAGATGGGAACTGGTCTTTGAGTGAGTTTGAGATCAAGAAAACAGAGCAACGATGGCAGTATGGGAGTATTGGCTGCTCCGTCTTCAATATAGTTGGATTTTTATTTATAGATAATACTATTTATACTATATATATAAAAACAAAATTCTGAACTTTATCTTCCCGTCTAATTCCTAATCAATCTCGATTTCTAATAAAATATATTATTTTTTAATTTCCTAGATCCCTGGTCATTCTTCCAAAGTTTCACCTCTATGACCAGTTGAACTACCCATACAAGCACCTAAAATTTCTATTCTAATATTATAAAATAATGTAATACAATTCCTAATAGAATATATTGTTTTATATTTTTCTATTTGTACTATAATTCTACATTAAAATTTCTATTCGTAATACAATACGACAATATATGCACAACAAAATAAATTCCTATTCTAATCAACACTGATAAACCCAGTTAAAATCAAATTCACAAATACTCATAAATCACCTATAAATATAGCCCAAAACCCAGCATTCCATCACCAAGAACAGATAATAATTTTACATAATTTTCTCCTATTAATTATTAACCAATCATCTCTAATAAATGTAAGGTTATTTGTTCACATTACATGATGCCTGGTGTCATGGTGTGGGGTAACCTGCTCACATAATGTAGTTCAATGTTATTGTCACATAAACAATTCTTTGAAGTCTTAATACTTTTAAACATCTCATCGATACCACTAAATTACAATGTCTTTACGAGTTTTTCTGATCCGGTCCATTATTTGTGATACAAAATTTATTACAACTCACAAGGTGTTGCTCTTACATTTACTCACTTGCCACAGAAACTGAACTGCCCATTCTCAAAGAAGGCTTTGAATCAACAGAAATAGCATCCAAGTAAGCCAAGGTAAAGGGTGAAGATGACTTCCCATACTGAGAACACCAAGAAAGCAACTTCTCCAGTACTGCAACCATTTCTGGAGTCTTTGTGTTTACATCTGCTCTCAATTTCAACAACAAATTTTCACCTTCAGATCCCTCCATGATTCTTTTCCCAGAACTGTTTTTGTGCCATTGAAGAGTTAAGTTGAACTCGGTCGGGGAATTCTTCCCTCCTGCAAATCTCAGGACATGCCAACCATCCACACCATTCTTCTCTCCCCCAACTGAAACCAGCACTCCAGATTCATCTGCATTATGTTAAGACTTAGTCTGTTAGTAGTTTATATTGGCCTAGTCTTGTGGTTTAAGTGTAACTAGTTTCCTGCTGGTTCATACTGGTCAAACAGTATTCGTGAACTCCCGTCTAAACTAATAGTGAGACTGCACGTTTAACAATCTTGTGTCATTCGACCACGAGATTTTCATAGTCAAGAACTAAAGAAACTCGTTACCTTTCAGCTCGAAGTCTTTAATTTCATTGGTGTTAATGCCCAGGCTCCAGCGAGTCGAATATGCAGTGTCGATATGGATCAAAGTAGCTCGGGTATCGCCCTCCATATCTCTGCCAACACGAAGCGCAGGAATCCGGGATTCCTTCCAGCCAAGTTTAGCAGTAGGCTCTGTCCAGCAACTGTACTTGACAGAGAATGTCACGAAATCGAAAGCCTTGTCTCTACCACACACAAATCCTCCAAGCTTTTCAGCCTCTACATCCAAGTTTCCAGGAGTCGTCGAGAATAGAGAGATGTGCGAAACCACCGAAGAGTTTCCTGTATGATCCACAACTTGCACAATCTACATACCCACAGAACAAGAATTTTAGTCCTAGGAACAACAATCTGGAACTTGGTACAAGAAAATTTAGTATATATACTCACATTTACAGCTCTTGCAGTGTCGTCCACAAAGGCCGGAACCATTTGCATTGCCACCATGCCAAGCGAGACGACAAACAACACACAGGTAGTGATTACAAATGGAGATTTTGCACCTGGAAATTAAACATAGTATAAGGAAACTCTTCCACATGAAGTTATACCTGCAAATTAAACAAGATTATGAAACTTCTGGCACCTGAATTGTGAATATATGGTAGAACATAAGCCATTGTCAAGCACACTATAGCTGCAATAAGTACTGCAACAATTGCAGTGGGTATCCAGTCTGCCTGCTCTCCAGGATTACTGCAACATGAGACAAATGAAGTGTGAATATCAATGAAGCCTTCAAATTAAACGTTGGGCGGAGCCCTGAAGGGTCAAATCCAGCACCAGGTGGCTAGGGGATTGTTGGGCGGAGGCCCGAAGGGCCAAGTCCAGCACCACCACCACCACCAGGTGGTTAGGGGATTGTTAGACTGAGGCCTAAAGGGCAGTCCAACATCCTGTCTCTCGAAAATAGACTATAACTTTTGGCTTGATCCTAACATTAACATAGAAAACTTTCGGTATAGTTGTCTTAGCTATTACCTTACAAACCGAACTAAATATCCGATAAGTGTATTCACCAGCATAACAAACACACCAGAAGAAATTGCCAATGGCACTGTCAGTCCTATCAGTGATGTTAATGGGTCTAGTGGTTTGGTTGATTGTGCTGGTGCTTCAAGTAAGACATCTGCACATTCCAGAGAAGAGGTCGATTCGTAAAAGATGTGTTCTGTCTCAACTAAAAGTACGTTTAAACTCGAGGATGGTCACTTACAGGCAAGTGCAGGTGAGACAAGCCAAACCAAGGCCAAATAAGAAGAGCCAATCTTGAGATAAGTTCCCACAGCCAAGACAAGCAGCCACTGCAACAGACCAGCTTTAAACATCCATCTTTCAGCCTCTAACTCACACTCACTCACATCCTCGTCGTCTTGGACAAAAAGAATAAAACTTCTTTTTCTCTCCGAGAATGTGTATGACAAGAACTTGTGGAGAAAGAGATAAACCACGTGTTGACCAACGAAAGCCCCTAGAAGAGCAGGGGCTGCAAACAAGCCGATTGCCAGCCATGGACTTGCAACGAAGGGAACTGGAGTTGATGACACACTTGGAAGGACATAGGCCACGAGGACGGAGAGACTCACAGAGCCTATCCACATGAGTACAATACTTAAAGCTGAAAATACCAGTGAAATTAGAGCTGAAAGCCCTCCCATATACAGCGATGCAATCGATATCAAAAGGGATAGTATTATCACTGCCTTGTGGAACATGTCAGCAAAACTCCGTGGGTATACAACCATGTATCTTCCCTGTAATTTTTGGATAAGTATACATTTAGGAAAAACCCCAAAATCAAACAATATAAGATGTGGTGATTTGAACTTTGAATTACCAATATGTCAAAGTATACAACTGTATCCTCATCCTCAGATTTTCCAGTGGATAGAGTCTTGTTGGGTGTTGGAAGATCAGATGATGATGCAGCCTGGAGCAGAAATGGAAGCAGATTTTCACCAAGGTGTTGAAGAGAACCCGGTTTCAAAAGAGCAACCTTGTCATTCTTGATCAACAAAACACTTAATTAATCCTCAGAAAACAATGTATGTATAGCAACTAACACAGTAGTAAGAATGCATACTGATCTGACATCCTCTGATGTCTTACCTTAGTGTGGTAGACGGCTGTATGGTCTGTAAATGCAAAGTCAAGGCCTGAAAGACCAGCAACCTCTTTATACACTTGAAAATCAGTTGAAGATTTTATGACCCCAGAAGAAAACAAGTCCTGCAGTACCAAGTTGTCCAAAATGTAAACCCAAAAATTGATTTGACAATGAGACAATAACCTTAGTCAAGTTGGTTAGGCTGTGGACTTGGTAACCACAAGTTACAAGTTTGACGGTAAGTAGAAGCGGCCTATTGACCTAGTGGTCCTTTAACGACTAGTCACAAGGTAGAGTTTACTTAGTGCACAATCTCAGGTAGCGGCTGCAGTGCCCCTCGTCACTCGAAAAAATTTATTTGAAAATGTGAGAAAAATTCAATATGCACATGAACATAAACCAGCAGACCTGTGAAACAACTTGGCCGGATGGGTATTTTGCCACTTTTGCAAAGTTCTGAATAGCCCATGGATCAGGACCAGCCTGTTAACCAAAGAACAAGTGAACAAGAAAATAATAATGGGAACATTATGAAACAACATGAAGATGAAGCTAAGGTTGCATATATACCTGAAATATTCCTGACTTCCCACCAATACCCATGGCTTCCAAGTCAATAGCCACTCTGACAGTATTAATCCAAGGGTGCTGCAAGAACAATAACCAAATTAAAAGGAATGAAGCAGATTGAAGATGAGAGGTGAAGAAAATGAAATGAAATTAAACCTGAGTTACAAAGCTATGAGCACCATTCAAGCCTTCTTCCTCCCCAGTATTAAAAAGAAAGATGACAGAATTATTCTTGAACCCAGTGGCCTGCTTAGAAAGCCCACGAGCAACCTCCAACATAACAGCAACATTAGAACTATCATCCCCAGCTCCCTCCCTAAACATCATATCAAATCCAACCAATTAATTAATTAAAACTCCAAACTACTTTGCATGCATGCATATATAGATGCAGAAAGCATCGAATGAAAACACATGCATACATACGCTGCGAAAACCGTATCCACGTGGGCAGAAACAAGAATAGCATCTTCCTCGTCTTCCCCCTCTCTTAACTTATCAGCCGTAGATTTCGGTGACAGTCTCATCACAACATGCTTCAGATCCGAATAAACTGGGGTTTTCCCGAAATATAAACCGCCGACAAGAGTATTAACGCCGGAGTTCGCATGAAAGACTTCAACATCCACATTAACATCCCCGAACGCCTCCTCCTTAATACCCTCTGCAACTTGCAACACATACTGCATGCATGCATGCCACAAACATATATATATCGAAATTTAACAGCAAAATGAATTGAACCAAGCTATAATGATATTAATATATATACCTGCAGGGCAGTGTCAAGAGCAGTGGAACCGAGGGGGTGGGGGCCGAGTTGACTCAACGCCTTAACATGGTTCATGGCCGCCACCTCAGAGAAGCCCGTTTCGCCGGCTTCCTCGGCACTGAGGGGCTCCGGCAGAACCTTAAACTGAGAATAAAACACCAGCCAAGTTCCACACACGACAAACGTAAACAACACCACTATCTCGTACCCTGACCTCTCCGCCATGTTTCCCTCGATCGTATAACTCTTCAAGTGAGGACAGTCCCACAGTACAATGTTATTCAGTGCTTGAGTGAGGTGGAGATGAAGAAAACAAGAGAGTGTGTACAGACTACTGAGAAGCTAGTGGTGGGAAGAGGAGGCAATATCAGGGTGCTATTTATAATCAAACAACTTCCATGGAACGGCGTCGTATGGTTGAGTTATTGGTGCCTCGAGACACTCGAGAACTTACTTGAGTCACAACTCCAATCATACCATACGTCCTACGTCTTACACGTATGTACATTTTTCTTTTCTTTTACCCAAAAATTGAATCTCCAATCCGAGATAGAGTATTTGAGATAATATAAATTATGATAACTCAGTGACTAAATGTGCTTACTTTGGACAATGGACATAATTCATTAATTCATACATTTGGCTATCAAGTTTTGAACCTTAATTTCTTGTTCTAAATATTGTGGGGGTATTTGGTTTTTTACTGATAAGCTAAATTTTAGTTGATTTAACTAAGTTTAGCTGTTTGACCTATCAAAGTGTTTGGTAAATGTCTGATTGATCTTGACGGATTGAGCTAATAAGTCAAAATTTGAAAAGCTGGTGGATGTAGCGTTTTTTATCAGCTAGTTTGAAATTAATAGTATATTGATTATTTTATCTTTTAGAATTAATAAGTTATACTTTTAAATGGGTGGTGGGTTTGTCATTTATAATAATAATAATAATAAACAACGGGTGGTGGGTTTGTCATTTACTATCCGGGAGTTGGCTAGAATATTAATCTAAACCTCAGTGATCTATGATAATATGTCACTAATTGATTTTTGAACTTCATTACAACAAATATTGTCAGAATAGGCGAAATATTGACCTAAATTCTAGTAACCCGTGATATTAAGTCACTAATTTTTGAATTTTATTGCACCAATATACAATATTGATGAATTTAATTATTACTTTAAAAAGTTTAAGTACCTAATTGACTTGTTAGATAATGTTCAATAACATATTTGACCATTTTTCATTTTATTTTTAAAAATATGAATATTTCTTACCCCAAAAAATATGAATATTTCTTCAATGAAGGCTCGGAAACAGAAGTAACATATATCTTCAAATTAGATTGTTATTCTTCTAAATTTGTAATCAAAATGTGGGATAATCAACTAGAAGGCCAAAAAAATTTATCTTCATCTTTATCCACAAACTTCCCAAGTCAAAAATTTCTGTCATTCTAATTGATTATCCACATTTTGATTACAGATTTAGGAGAGAAAAAAACCTAATTTGAAAAAATATGCTTTCAAACTAAAAGAAATCACATATTGCATGGAGTGCAAAACCTAAATTTTCAATTTTACCCTTCATTTTAACACCAACTTAACGCGAAAGCTAACAAATGACCATTTTAACTTAAAATTCAAAAGTGAAAGAACCATTTTGAAAAAAATTAAAAGACCATAGTGGAAGGAACATTTTGAAAATTAACTCCTTTTATTTTCTATGCACTAACGAAAAACGAAATAACGATAAAAAAAAAAAAAAAAAAAAAAAAAAAAAAAAAAAGAAAACTTGTCACCAATACGGCTAAATTACAAGATTGTTTTCATTATTTGTAGTAGAAATTTATTACAACCCATAGGGTGATAGATACTTCTACTCATCACTTGCCACAGAAACTGAAGTGCCCATTGTTAGAGAAGAGTCTGCAACATACATAGTATCGAAGTAAGCAAAGGTATAGGGTGAAGTTGACTTCCCATACTGAGAAATCCAAGAAGGCATCTTCTCCAGTATTTTATCCAGTTCTGGAGTTGTTGCATTTACATCTGCTCTCAGTTTCAGCAGCACTTCACCACCTTCAGATCCCTTCACTATCCTTTTCCCAGAGCTATTTTTGTGCCAGTGGAGAGTCAAGTCGAACTTGGTTGGTGAATTCTTCCCTCCTGCGAATTGCATAAGGTGCCAACCATTCACGCTGTTCTTGTCGCCGCGCGAAACCAACTCCCCACTTTCATCTGCATTGCATCCACAAAACATGTTAGGATCAATAGATTAGGGTGTGCTTGAAACAGGAAAAATGATTTTTGGAAATCATTTTTAGGATTTTTATGTTTAGCTAAAGAGGAAAAATAGAAGTCAAATGAAAATAGAGGTATGGTCAATAAAAAATAAATGAAATTTTTTCAAAAATGACTTTTTTTTTTTTGGAAGTCATTTTCTGTTTGCAGCAATTAACCAGCAAATCGCCCCACCGCCACCGCCACCCCCATCCCCACCATCAATGTATATTTTAAATATTTTAAATTAAAAATAATTATGCTCATTTTTCAAAAAATGAACCAAACACATCAGGATAATTTTATGAAAAATGACTCATTCTTCAGAAATCATTTTCCTGCTTTCCAAACACACCTTTAGTTTTACTGGCCTGCGCCCAACAATTTCTTATGCCCAAGGCCCAACCTTATTTCATGTCATTACATTTTTGAGAGGCAAGGTGCTGGACTTAATCCTTCACTGACCACACCCAACAATTCCCAACCACCAATTGATGAAACAAGATGTCAGGATCATATGCTTACCACTACGCCAAAAGTTACAGCTAATAATATCAAAAACACTCTATTTCTTTATATTTGAGTAACAATCGCCACCACATTTTAATGACAAGATGTTAGACTCGCTGCAATCGAATTAGTTAAAAAGAAGTAGGAGGAGGAGGAGTCTACCATGGAGCTGGAAGTCTTGGATTTCATTTGTGTTAATGCTGAGGCACCAGCGAGTGGAATGTTCTGTATTGATATTGACTAAAGTAGATATGTCGTCACCATTTCCGTGCGAATCACTGGCAACACGAAGCGCAGGAATCTGGGCATTATTGCTCCACCCATGTTCAGCACTCCAGCAGCTATAATAGGCAGTGAATGTTACAAAATCAAACGCCTTCTCTCTGCCGCAAACCAATCCTCCTCCAAGCTTTTCAGCCTCCACCTCCAACCCTCCCGGAGTCGTCGAAAACAGAGATATGTGTGTCACCATACCCTCCCCTGTAGTATTCACCACTTGCACAATCTACAAACAACACGTGAACCATAATCCTTCTTACAGATGACTAGTTGGCTCTGATACCAAATTGAAGCATGTGTTCTATCTCAACTAAAAACTATACTAACATTTACAGCTCTTGCAGTGTCGTCGATGAAGGTTGGAACCATGTTCTCCACCACCATGCCAAGCGAGACGAGGAACACGATACAGGTAGTGGCTATAAATTTGTATTTAGCACCTGAAAGTTAAAAACACTACTTTGTAAATCAATACTTAGCAATTATGGAGCTATGGTCAAGACAATGCAAAGAAAACAAACATGCCTGAATTGTGAATGTATGGAAGAACATAAACCATTGTCAAGCATACTAGAGCTGCAATAAGTGCAGCAACAATTGCAGTAGCTATCCAGTCTGCCTGGGCTCCAGGATTACTGCAACATCACAAAGATTTAAGTTTGAACATTCAAGAATTCTCAGTATATATAAATGGCTGTTTTAATTTAGTCTCTTAGATGTTACCTTACAAACCGAACTAAATTCCCAATGAGTGTATTCACCAGCGTAACAAACACACCCGAAGAAACTACTAATGGAGCAGCCAATCCTATGGCCGCAGTTAGTGGGTTGAGTGGCTTGGGTGACTCCGCCAGTACTTCAAACAGGAAATCTGGACATTCGTTTAAGCTGACAGTGAGACTACTATACATTTATATGTTACTCCGTATATATTATATGCTCGACAAGCTTAAATTTGGTCCGGTAGGGAGGGAAACTTACAAGCAACTGCAGGGGAGACCATCCAAAACAAGGCGAAATAAGACGAGCCAACGTTGAGATGATTCCCGACAGCCAGGACAAGCAGCCACTGCAACATACCAGCTTTAAACATCCATTTTTCAGACTCTAACACAGCCACATCTTCCTCGTCTCCTCGAAAAGAAAGAGGCAAAAACCCCTTGGTTTCTGAGAATGTGTATGACAAGAACTTGTGAAGAACGAGATACACCACGTGTTGACCGACGAAGGCCCCTAGAAGAGCAGGCGCTGCAAACAGGCCAATCACGAGCCATGGACTCGCAATGAAGGGAACCGGGGATGCTGATATACTTGGAAGGACATAAGCAACCAGGACGGAGAGCCCGAGAGAGCATATCCACATGAGTAGAATGCTCAAAACTGAAAGTGCCAGTGAAACTAGAGATGAAAGCCCTCCCATCTTTAGCACTGAAGACCACACGAAAAGGGCTAATGCTATCACTGATGTGTTGATCATATCAGCTAAACTTTGTGGGTATACAACCATGAATTTTCCCTGTTGTTTTTGGATAAGTATACATCAAAAACGAACAATCAAACAAGAGTTAATTTCATCTGGGATCCTCCGAATAGTGATTTTGACACGTTTAGTCTTAAAGTTTCAAATTAACCTGAATGTTTAGAACTAAAGCTGGCAAAATCACTATACTCGGAGAACCCCCTCAGATGACATTAACTCATCAAACAACATAAGATGTAGTGATTTGAAGTACCAGAATGTCGAAGTATACAACTGTATCCACTATTTCCTCAGAATTTCCTTGGGATAGATTGTTCTTCCCTGTTGGAAAATCAGTTGATGTTGCAACGTGAAGCAGGAATGGAAGCATATTGTCACCCAGATGCTGAAGCGAACCGGGTTTCAAAAGCTCATGCTTGTCATTCTGGATTAACAAAATATACTTATTAATCATCAAAAAACAACTTAGGAATCAATCAAATAATCCAAAGTCTAATGTCTTACCTTGGTGTGGTAGACAGCTGTTTGGTCTGTAAATGCAAAGTCCAGACCGGACAGACCAGCAACCTCTTTATACACTTGAAAATCAGTTGAAGATTTTATTACCCCGGAAGCAAACAAATCCTGTCCAAAACTTAAGTTCAAGTAGGATACTCTTATGCACATATATATGAGATATAATCAACACAGATAAAACAGACCTGTGACACAATCTGGGCAGATGGACGTTTTGCCACTTTAGCAAAATTCTTAACCGCCCATGGATCAGGACCAGCCTGTTAATTAAAAAAAAATGGGAAAATGGAAGAAACAAAAGATCAAGCCAAGGTATTTAGGCCAGCATATGCATACACAAAAAGTCAAAAACTAAGCAGATCGAGCTAGCTGCACAGTTTAGGCCAGCATATGCATAGCTCAGTTAGTTCCTGAATGGCAGATTGTGGGCAAATAAAACACAGGATTAAACCGTGGTAGCCACAATGTATGAGTTCCACTCTCTAATCATGTGGGCACTAAGCACTGATCATTTCACTTAATGGGTCGTTGAGTCACCCTGTTTATCCTCGGTCCACAATCTTGTCAGGAGCAAAACATTATTGACATTTGTAGATCACAATGAGCCAATGTATATATATACCTGAAATATTCCGGACTTCCCACCAATACCCATGGCTTCCAAGTCAACAGCCACTCTGACAGTATTAATCCAAGGGTGCTGCAAAAACAATAACCAAATTAAAAGGAAGCAGATTGAAGATCAGATGAGAGGTGAAGAAAATGAAATGAAATTAAACCTGAGTTACAAAGCTATGAGCACCATTCAAGCCTTCTTCCTCCCCAGTATTAAAAAAAAAGATGACAGAATTCTTGAAGTCATTGGCCTGCTTAGAAAGCCCACGAGCAAGCTCCAACATAACAGCAACATTAGAACTATCATCCCCAGCTCCTTCCCTAATATAAACATCAAATATAACTGCTTTAATTTGCATGTTACCTAATTATACAGACGAATTGAAGCATATATATATTGAAAACAGCACACTTACGCTGCGAAAACCGTATCGACATGGGCAGAAACAAGAATAGCATTGTCCTCCTCGCCTGATCTTAGTTTACTTGCTGCAGATTTTGATGATATTCTGATTAGAACATGCTTCATATCCGAGTAAACCAGGGTTTTCCCATAATATGATCCGCCGGAGAGAGTATTAACACCGGTGTTTGCATGAAAACATTCCACTTCCACGTTTACATCCTCGTATGCCTCTTCCTTAATAGTTGTTGCTGCGTTCAACACATACTGCATGCCACAAATACACCCATCAAAATAATTTCCCTAATTTTTTTGTTTAAAGTAAACCATTAATATTTATGTATATTTAAAAAAAAATACTTGCAATTATATATATATATATATATATATATATATATATATATATATATATATATATATATATATAATATGGAAGGGATCAGGTGCAGGTGAAGCTTTCGGTGCGGTTGTGCGGGTGGATGCACGTTAAACATTAATCTGAAGCACTTGAAGTACAAAACACATACACATTAAGTACATGTACAAACAAAACACCTTAAGAACACAACCACATGCACGTTAAGCACAAGCCTCAGGCATGTTAAGCATAAGCCTTAGGCACCTTTTAAGTTTCAACAACTATTCACATTAGGTACAAACTCCGCAGGTTAGGCACAAAACTCACGCACCTTAAGTACAAGACTCACGCACCTTAAGCACAAACACTGCTGGAAATTATGAAATTTTCGACCACCTGAAAGTGATCTTAAATCAATTCAAAAGCAAAAAGTGGTCGGAAATAGCAACAAAAATTTTTCCGAATACCAAAAGTGGTCGGAATAAGGCTTTCGACTTGATTTAAGATCATTTTTCAGATGGTCGGAAATTCTATAATTTCCAGTAGTGAAAACTCATGCACTTAAAGTTTCAACAACAACTCACATTAAGTGGTCGGAATAAGGCTTTCGACTTGATTTAAGATCATTTTTCAGATGGTCGGAAATTCTATAATTTCCAGTAGTGAAAACTCATGCACTTAAAGTTTCAACAACAACTCACATTAAGTACACACTCACGCACATTAAGCACAAGACTCACGCACCTTAAGTACAGAACTCAGGCACATTAAGCACAAAACTCAGTACACACTCACGCACACGCACCTTAAGCACAAGACTCACGCACCTTAAGTACAAAACTCACCCACATTAATCACCCGCACAATCGCACGGGAGACACTTACCCGCACCTTAAGTACAAAACTCACCCACATTAGTCACTCGCACAATCGCACGGGAGACACTTACTCGCACTGGAACTTAATATTTTATATATATATATATATATATATATATATATATATATATATATATAATTTTATATTTGTACTTTTTTCAAGGGTTTTGTTTCCCAGGCAAAACACAAGTCCGGCAAGCTAGGTAATGCAAGTTGCATTCGAAGGCAGGCATGCAGGAGGGTTTATGTAACAACTAACACGAGGGAATCATATTTTTCGGCCCTCAAAGCTTTAATTTACAAGAGTCCAAGCTCTTCACTTAATTGTATAAATTGATGAATCTTTTTTAATTAAAAATGGAACTCATGTCCCGTGAAATCAACCGCTTTAACTTCATGCTATCTCGGTTTTTTATGCACCATTCACATTCATTTTTGTGCGTATGTACCATATATCATATATATGATGCATTATAGTTTGTCCGGTCTAGTTTACAAAATAGGGTGTGTATATATATATGAGACGGATCATGTGAGAACTACATGTCTAAAAGAGAACCAGACCCATTGCAATCATCTATCTGACCAAATCTAACATATTATAAAGACTGTTTCGTAAATAATTGAACTTTGAAGTGCAAGTAAATTATGTTAAAATGCAAGTAACAGTTTCATATAGTGCACTTAAGTAAAAGTAATATGTATTAAGTGCAACAAATAATATACACTGAGCAACAATATTAAGTACAGCTAACGTTATCATTAGTTGCACCAAGCATTATCATTAAATGTAGAAGTATACTAATGTGAAATACATTATCATTAATTAAGTGCACCAATGTGAAAAGGTAAATCATGTTAATTATTGCACTTTTAAGTTATTACTTGCACACTTGCACTTTAACTCATGTTACTTGCATCAAAATTAGAGTTATTTACAAAAATATCACCATATATTTTTTTTCTTTTTGAATTAGATGTAGTTAGTTAGATATGAACAGGTAGCCGCTCCTATTAGTTCCTAATTCTCTCCTGAGCATCGGTTCTCACCTGAGCGCACTCATATATATATTCGAATGAGTTATGTTGACAGAATAAGTAGAACATGATTATTGTAAATTTATCCCATATATAAAAGATGAAAGTATTTTGAGAGATTAAGTAGCATATATATATGTATATATAATTATATATATATACCTGGAGGGCAGAGTCGAGAACGGCGGAGGGGAGAGGATGGGGGCCGAGTGAACTCAATGCCTTATTATGGGCCAAGGCGGCCTCCTCAGAGAAGCCTGTGTCGCCGGCATCCTCCGGGCTCAGGGCCTCCGGCAGAACCTTAAACTGATAATGATGCACCCCCCAAGTCCCACATATCACTAACGCAAACAACACCAATATCTCATACCCAGATCTCTCCGCCATTTTTTTTTTTAATAATCCTTCAACTCACCATATATATAACGTTACTCAGTGTATATATGAGTGAGTGTTCGAGCAAGAAAAAGACTGTATATATAGATCGGAGAAGTGATGACTCATAATCGTACGAAAATAATACGTATCAACGAATTTCCTGAAACGGCGTCGTGTAAGGGAGTTTTGAGTACTTGTCGAGTAGTTGAGTCACGACTCCGATATATTTATGACGAATACGTCCTACGTCTTACACGTCTATACATTATTTGAAATGTCGACATCGTCGTCATTTTCGTCACGTTCAAATATCTTTATACAATTATTATCAATTTATATATAATAATGATAATGTTATAAAATAAAGTTGTTTGGGTAGCTGTGTGAACTTATTCATGGAATTAAAGTTATAAAATAAATTCAAGAGCAAATTTAATAGAATCTAATTAATTTTATTAATGTATTTCATTTGATTGATCAAAGATTATGATACTTGCTCTAAAAAGTGATCGAATTGTTAGAGTATTATATAGGTCAGATTTTTTACACAAAATCTTTCTAATATAATTTATTTAAAATTGAATTTTACCTTATTGCACACTCTAAATTATATTGTTACCTGCATGCAATTTGTTTTTTTCTCAACCCAATAATTAAATGTGAAAAAAAAATACCATTTTAGTGAATGCAAATTTAACATGAGTTTTTAAAAGCATTTCTTGAAATAAGAAATCCTTTTTTTTAGGAAAAATGGTACGATAGTTTTAGTCCATTAGTTATACATAAATTGTAGACTCAGTTTATATATGAATTATTACTCTATATAAAAATTTTCCTTTAATTATATTGGGAGTGACAGCTCTAGCCCATTTTTTAAATAAATTTTGTTAACATTAATAATTTATTTTGAATTTTCAAATTACTAAAAGACATTTGATCATTTTGTAAAAAGTTTCAAAATTCCCTCCATTAGTCTTCATATATGCATTACTCTTATACAAAACCATCATGATACACCGTTTTCATGAGTTGAAGTATGCGTGTGTTTGTTGTAGAGTATTATTAGAGAGCATATAATCATTATTCATTAATAATTAATTAAATTAGATGGATGAATGAATCTAAACAAATGATCGATCATGTATTAATTAATGTTCCGTTGACTGGTGAGTAGTGACCACGTACTACTTCCTCAATTCACCCAACAATGTTTTTCCCCGTCTGCTGGCTAGTATTTTTTTTTTTTTTTTTTTTTTTGAAAAATCAAACTTTTCCATTAAATCAACGAGAAATTCTATTACTCAGAAAACGTGGAATACAATCAAAGAACTCAAGTCTATCCTCCCCTATGTAACTAAGTGCTTTTTTGGCCAATAAATGGGCCATCCCATTATCCTGACGCTGAACGAAACGGAAAGTGACCATAGGCAATTCATGAAGCAGCTCGCGGATCTCTTCAATGATAGAACCAAAAGGTGAGATATTTCCGTCCGTCACTACTGCTCGTGTCACCACCTGTGCATCCGTCTCCAAGACCACTCTCCCCCATCCACTTTCCTTTATCCAACTCAAAGCTTCCTTAGCTCCCATGGTCCATTGCTACATCAATTCTTACCTTTACATCTCCAGGGGTCATACAATCATCTTGGATAGTGTGATGATCCTACACAGTTGGGAGCATCCCACCCATGTCATTCCCATTGTTCTGCCGCCAGCACTCCGCATACATAATTGCGTGATGCACCAAGGTTGCCGGTTCCGAGACCATATCCTTCCAGAGCTTTTTATTTCGAGCCTCCCATATTGCCCATGTGACCATCACAACGCGCTCCAGTAGCTCCTTCGAAGGAAGGCGCGCCACATCTCATCCAGCCACTCATCAATAGAACCCACATGTCGTAGCAACCACTAATCATTCAAAACAAGCCAGCATTTATGAACAAAATCACAATTAGCAAACACATGAACAATACTCTCATTTGCTCTACCACACAGCCCACAAACGGGATCACAGGGAACACGTTTTACCAATAAAGCATCCGTGGTGGGCAACCGTAAAGTACACAAATTAATGGCTGAAATTTGTCTGCGGGCTAGTATAGTCACTTGATTTGAAATGTACTTTTTAAAAAGTAAAAAATGGAGACGAAATTAATGGCTGAAATTTATGCCAATTGTTATGTTGTGGATACGGTTTTATGTTCATAATTACTGAACTATATGTTCATAATTATAAAACTATATATTCATAATTATTGAACTCTATATTCACATCAATTACAGAACTCTATGTTCATAATTACTGAAATATATATTCATAATTATAAAGTTATATATTCATAATTTTTGAACTTCATATTCACAATTATTGAATCTCTATATTCATAATTACAGAACTATATGTTCATAATTCTATATTCATAATTATAAAATTATATATTCATAATTATGAACAGTTTTGAAATCATGTCCGACACGATTTCACAACCTAATTTGCCAATTTATGAGCATTTTATACCTGCGAATTCCTTTGCACTTGATCCTCCTTCGCACATATATACTAAATAGATTAGAACATACAACATAAGCCTTTAAAAAAAAATTTAAAAAAAAAAAAAACAAAAAAACAAAAAAACAAAAAAAAAAAAACAAAAGGTACAATATTGTCTTAAATGTGTTAACGTGTCGCTCTGGCACGTCTGAACAGTGTGAATTGAAGATGATAAATGATAATATATGGTTTGAGATAATGTATACCTACCACTTCTGATACTGATTATTGAAGATGATAAATGATATTTGGGATGGTTGCAATGGTCCCCTATTGCCTAAAATAATAGGAATAAAGGTCAAATATGTCATCGAACTGCACACGAAAATACAATTAAATTATTAATAAAAAAACAAAAAAAAATCTACAATTATGTCTCTAAACTAACCAATTTTATTCAATTTATCTATTTCTCAGGTTTCAGGTTACCCCTTCATCTAGGATGCATATGTGGCATTTTAAAAAATTTATTTAATTTTAAATTAGTTTTTTAATGTTTAATAAATAAAAACTAAAATAATTTGTTTTTTTTTATGCTACTCACTCTATTACATTGTAGTATCTGTTTAAACCTACTTTCTCAACCTAATGATGAGGCTCAATCTCATGACCTCCCACATGAAAGAGGTCATTACATGCTATCTGAGCACAAAGTACTTGGCAAATAAAATAATTTGTTAATTTGTTTAAAATTCGCAAATCACCAATACAAACTAATTATTTTAAAATTCTAAAATCACCAAATCAGGATCGTTTCAATTAAATAATTTGTTGATTTTTTTATTTGTTCCTGGCCAAAAGCAAAAAATAAAAAATAAAATAAAAAATAAAAAAATCAACAAATTATTTAATCGAAACTATCGTGATTTGGTATTTTTTGGATTGTAAAATAATTAGTTTGTATTGGTGATTTGCGATTTTAAAACAAATTAACAAATTATTTTATTAAAAAAACAAATTATTTTAATTTTTATTTATTAAACGTTAAAAAAATAATTTAAAATAAATAATTTTTTAAAAATGACACATATGCATCCTATGTGGAGGGGTAACCTGTTAGAAACCTGCAAAATAGACAAATTGAATGAAATTGGTTAGTCTAGGGACCTAATTGTAGACTTTTTTAGGTTCAGTGGCCTAATTGCATTCTCCTGTGCAGTTCAGTGGCTTATTTGACCCTTATTCCAAAATAATACAGTTCCAAAATGATTTTATTTTGGTCAAGTTTCTCGTGCGGCCAGTGCTTCTCGTACGGTAGTGCGGTCACGCACCATTAAGTAGGCATAAATGCACTATAAAATGTTCAAAAATGCACCATTAAGTGTGATGTATTTGTACATTTTTAAACACTATAGCAACACTATAGGTTCATTATAGCAACACTAAAGTATTACGGAGTATTTAATTTTAGAGTTAATTTCACTAGATGTCATTTGCCTTTGGTGACAATTCCAAATTTAGTTCTAGACTATCATTTTTGCCATTTAACATCTTAGACTATTATTGTTTGGACATTTTTTGTCCTTCTAATGACTTTTCTTATTTTTAGTAAGGATCTTTTTTGTCTTTTCATATTTTTTTTTTGTTATTTTTTCTGGTTTAATAGACGAAATTTTAAATAATTCGAGAATCAAATGAGTTGAAATTGAAAATTAAAAATTACATTGACAGCTGAAAAATAATTAAGGTAACAAAATGATTATTTCTCCTTTTATTTTTTAGTCCTTATTAAAGTGGAGTATTTTGATTGATTTAAAAATAAAAATGAATAAATCTTTTTTTTTTCTCTAATAAAATAAGACACGTGCCAAGAGTTTTTTTACAAGATGAGGTGCACGTGAGGCAGGACCTCTGCGATGGATTGATTAGGTGCATGATTTAAGAAGCATGATTCATGTGAATAGTGGTTGGTGATAGATGCCAATAACAAAGTCAAATTTGTCGGTATATATCGCCAAATGCTTGCATATTATTGGCATTCACAACAAGGTTAAAACTCAATATTATATATCTTTTTTTTTTTTTTTTTTTTTTTTTTGTAAAATCCAAACTATCAATATGTTTACTAACCATTAGAAAAGTTTTTTAATTTATTTTAGATTAGTTAACGAGTAGAAAAGATTTATTAAAAAAAAAATGAGTAAAAATGATTGAAACTTGTCAAGAAGCAAAGACTTCAAGGCAGAAGGGGTACTAGTGAGGGCAATTTAGTAAATTCACAACGCGAGTGAAGTAGAAGAGAAACTCCCCATAACCCACCTTTTTAATTGTGTGTAAAAAAAATAAATTATAGAGATAATAGATAATCGTCATAATACCCACATTTCTCAAAATAGTGGACCATTTTGCCAACTTGGGATGACTCAATAATTAAAAGACAATAATTATTTTAGATGGACCACCCAAAAAAAAAATCCTAATTTGTATGAGTACAAAAACTTGAAAGTACAAAAATTTAAAACGGAAGAAATTTTGCCGTTTATGGACAAAGAAAAGGCAGATGT